GTGAGAATGTGGTGGTCCCTACAAGTGACTACATGGACGAAATTGCCCATGATACTTTCCTCCCATTACTAAGATTTTCCTCGAAACCGCTCCCCCAAACTTCGATCAGACTTCCGCTGACCTTGTTGAACACTACCACTCGCGCATTTTTCCCTTTACCACTCTGAATTGAGCGATAAGCGCTCAATTCCTACTCTGCTAGTTCCTTTTTTTTTTCATCCGGGTTCGCTGTATACTATCAATCCCCCTCCTCCCCCACTTTCAGCAAATCTCTCCTCCTTGCTGATGAGTGCTTCAAGCTCTATGCTGCAAATACTAGTGACTACTGACTTGTATGGTGGGCTGGGTATTTTTACCAGCGCTCGTTCAGTTTGTTCGGGTTATTGTCTACCGGAGAGTTATCTAATGGCACTAGTAAGGAATTGCCACTACCCTCATTTTCCTCGTGGAGAGGTAGGCCATATGGCGAGCCTTGATATGCCTTCGGCGCAAATGGAACATACAGGTTATTGTTGGCATCCAAAATGGGGATAACAGAGCAAAGGTGGGAACCGTTGAGGGAGGGAAAGGTTGCTCGTAGAATACTTTAGAGAGGAAATTTTCCTCAGAAGAGATGCCATAGACGAGACGTAAGCTCTTTGATACAAGCTAGGTCACCAAGATCTCAATATCACTGTACGCGAGTGACCCCTGATGACTTTACCATAATTTCGATGGACAGGACACGGTTTTGGGACTATCAATTGATAACTCCTCAAACGGGGTTGAACCTCTTCCGCTCTATGTTTTATGTATATCTGGGATCGGGTTCTGAGGGGGACTGACAGCAGTATAAGTTGTAGTCTGGGGGGATGATTGGCTTACGGCACGGTATCTCAATCTCTCCATTGATCTGATCCGCACCACATGTATGGCACAGATCTATTCACTGCTGGGTATCTGCCGCAAAGCTTCCCGCTGGAATTATAGGGTAACTGGTTGAAGCACTAGTGTTTTGAGGTGTGATACCGGAAACTACATACGCCATGATCCCACCACCCCCACGAACGGTGGAAATCACAGTACGCACTGAGGAGATGGAGATGGAGAAGAAGTACTTTGTAGCTTCATAGTAGGGGTCAGTCTTTTAGTGATTTCCATTAGTGAGGATTTGTTGCTACCACCGCTGCCTAGAATTCTGAAAGGGCATCCCTACTGGATTTTTAGCTCTCCATCATCTTAGCTATAGTCTCTCTATCGCGAATAATGGAAAACCCTCCGAGTATTCCTATACCAACACCACTTGTCCACTCTGGAGGTCTCGTTCTGGATCTTGCGCTATTACTACAAGATCTAGCAAATCTTCAGGGGAGGAAACCAACATGTAGCTTTAAGGGGTATCGCTATTGGTAAGGAAAGAGCAGGCCCCGACATCGTATCCGCCCCACTTCGCCCGGGAAAGTTAAAGAAAAAAAACCCCCCCGCAAAGCTTCCCGTGGCGTATCACATACCAAGCCGTATCACTCTATGCGGTCAGCCAATGTCCCACCCATGATGAACCCCCTCACGCAACCCCATCTGACCAGGTTAGACTGCACAGTAAACCTCCAAGAATTCCTTCGGGTTTGGAATAGCATGAGACTGGAAATAAGGGAGCCTGGAGCGGGAGGAGAGGCCTTTGCACAGAATACTCCCTCCAGCAAGGGTGAGGGCCGGGTGATATCTCATGACTGCAAAGGAAAAAAAAATTACAATTAAAATTTGCACCGCCATATGGGCAGAGGCTAGAATAGGGGTATGGATTTGAATAACAGATAGCTATAACTAACTTCCAGTTTCAGCAGTGGAGATGGGACGTTCCCTTGTGTAAATTAGTGGATTCCCGGAACTTGCGCGCTTTCCATCGGTCCAGAAATTTTACTCTTGTGGAGTTGAAATTTCGCTGGACTTGTAAGAATTTAGCCCTTGTCTCGAGAGCATCTTTCTTTCTTTCTTTCTTTCTTGATCTCTCCTGGTCCGAGTGGTTGGCATTGTGTTGTTGGATATGGGATTGTGGTTACTGAAGATGATTTTCTTCTAGTTTTATATGACTAAATTCCTCAAAGAGATACCTTCATACCTGCCCGAGTGCGTTGGTTTATTTAACTGGTACTCGGAAACTTCCTCTTTTTCACTTTGGTCTCGCTAATTTTTCCGCTAATATAAGTTTTCTAGAGTTCAGATCCTTGAAAATGTGCTGGGATTCGAAACCATGCCATAGAGATTTAGGGGGTTTCAGAAAGATCCTCCGTACTTCAGATAATGCAAATCTACAAACTCCGGTAGGGAGTTGGGAGTTTTAGGGGCGGGGAATATCGGGGGTTCCATCATATATCTAATGAGATCCTACGGTTATGGCGGAAAGTCTGGCTGACCTCCGGGCTATAGGAGGGACCACTCGCATGACTCCTTGGGAACGGATTGTAGAAGCCAAGACGCCGTCCTGGTAACGAGTTGTCCCCCTCTCCTTTGACGGCTAGTTCAATTTAACATTCAAGGTTCGAGCGGGGTCTAAACACCTGGACTCATTCCAACTCAGCGGGGCTTTCTAAATTTTAATAACCTCAGAGCTATCCCGCGAGCCAGGCTTTTCATAGAATAATACCGTAGGAAAAAAAAAAACACTACTTAAACTCCTAGGACCAAAGGGTCCAGCTGATGGCAACTGTGCGCCGAAACCGAGCCCTCTCGATCGACAAACTTCCCCCACTCAAGGATTCCATTCCGGGCCGAATTAGGCAGGGAAATATAAAGAGAGCGCAGCAGCCTGCAGCAGAAGGAAATTGAATACCGCGTTGGCTGGCGAGAACAGTCAGGTGCTAGAATCTTCAAATGGGATTTTTTAATCCTTGCTCTGTCTCGGAATCGCGATGGAGAGCCATACTGTACCGGTAGCCTACTGGTACTGATACTGTACCTGTACCTGTACCTGTACCTGTACCTGTAACCTTTGGTCTCGCCAGCGCTAAACCATTCATAGCTCTACTCTCCGCGAAATTGTAGGTTTCACATCAGCTGCTTCTTTATCTTACCGCTATTTCACCGTGAAAGCGTTTTCCCGATTCTCGGCAGATAATTCAGTAAAAGATTTGCGGAAGGGAATAGCTGTGCTTATTCAACATTATGTACCGTATGGTTCTTAGAGTCTCTTGGGACTTCTTACCTGGGTAGTGTAGAGCTGAGGGCCTCTGGAAATGGCTGTATATTGTAATCTGGCAAGTATCCAATAGCCCGTGTTTTTTGTTTTCTTTTTTTTTCTTCCCTGCGCTGGTTTATGATGTTGGGGGGAGGGTTTTTGGTTTCGGATTGATTATGGCGAGGAGAGGTAGACTAGCGGTCTGGAGCAGTACTGTACTACACTGCAGTTGACAGGTGATTATTCCCACGGTAGGTTTTTAAGGGGATGACTTTTGTTCCTGAATTCTCCAACATTCGGGCCAACCTGATTACTGGTGTAGCAAGGGGTGGTTACTCGAGTATTGGGAATTGTTGCTACTCCAAGTGGAATAGCACCCTGACAAAACATCCTTATTTATTCCCGAGTCTGTAAACTGCTTAGTGCTTATACAATCGTGAAACACCCCAACAGACTGCACGGTTTGGTAGGCTACTGGGCACGATAAGATACCGGAGAGGACACAAGCGCCTCTCGAAGGAAATATCGGATTTGACCTGAATGAGAAGTGCTCTCATAGCATATCAATACTGCTGGCTACCCTACCCCACTGGATTCCCTCTCAATTAGTCTGTAAGGCCGGTGCAAGTGCACAGTCCCCATTTTTGATGGAGTATAATTGGCTGGGGTTACTAAGGCTCGGCGACATCGACCCTCTCCGCTATTTTCCTCGCGATTGAAATCTCAACACCACGAGAAATCATCGTGAGCCCCACCCCCCCCCAGGGGGGGGACCCCTCCCCTACCATCCACCCTTTGGGGTGTTTGGACCCACCTCCTAGCCCTTCAGGCTCCCACCACCCTCCCTCCCTTCTGGCTTCCTTTGCTCCTCGCTTAGGTTGTCCACAGGCGCGTGTGTCTCTGGCCCTCACTTCAGATGGCTGGGATTACAGTTTGCAGTATGAAGGAACACCCAACAGGCCGATGGTTGATCCTTCCCCCCTCCTCCTTGGAGGCCGTCTAGTCAGATACGAACATGGTTACCAATAGTTGCGCTCTCAGTCAGGGCTACGTTCGCTCTACTCCTCCTCCCTGTCAGTTGGATTGTACCCTACTGCTGTGTGGCTTGCACCCTACTGCTCATCCACCTCCTTCCAGTCATTCCTCTATGGCTACCCCTACCAGCTGGCACCATACTGCCCCTCCCGCCCAGGCCGGTTTCCCTTAGGATTCGTGGCAATTGGGCACTTTATACTTTTCTAGCTTGGCATTCTGTGGGTTGGTGTGGCTACTGGCCTAGGAGTTTGTCTTTCCAACTTTGTTAGTCACACTTTGGTTGTGTGTATTTTTTGCAGTTACCTGCATACCAAGAATAGGGTCGGCTACTGAGATAGTTTTGGAAATTTCTTTTGTTTATGTTTTGATTTACGGGTTTATTTTTACGCCATAGTCTTAGTTACTGCATGTGAGTTCTTGTACCCTAAAAATAAGAATATATGATTTAATGAAAAAAAAAAAAAAAAAACTAAGGCTCGGCGAGTTAGTAGCGAACTATGCATTTGGTTGGGCACAATACCATACGTTTGGGTGTCCCGTCATTGTACTAGTACGGTACCGTACTGTGCCAATTATCTGGTTAAGCTAGAGATAGCGATAGGAGAGTCGAATAAAGTGTGGATCTAATGGGCGGGCGAGATCCCTTAGGGTTAGATATTGACGATATAATACGGCACGGTAATTTACCGTAGGGCGCTATGAATCTCTACCAAAGTTTTCACTTTTCCGAGGGAACGAGTCTTCAGAGGAGGTTTTCTCCCACTCGCCTATTAAGCCACCTGTCGCCCAGGGTAGGCCCGAATAAAATAGTGCTTTAGAACAGGGCCCACTAAATTCCTCAATTCCCCAGCCCTAGAACACACTGTATAAGAAACACCCGTCCTCTAATTCACAAGACCCGCCGCTGGCACACCCTCTCTAACTTCCCCAAAAAACTCTCCAATCTGTTCGGCGACAAACCCCGGATTCTCATCCCCAATCCAATGCCCACCCTCAGGTATCGTAACAGCAGTGACACTCTTCGCAACCTTCTCCCAATACGGCTTGGCCAATTCGCCCGGGGCGCTTGCCTCGCCACCCAGGTACAGTACCGGCGCTTCAATCTTGGATCCATTGAGTACCCTCTCGAAAAACACCGCATCCTCCAGAACCGATGAATACCATCCGATCGCAGAGCGAAGGTACCCAGGCTTGGTGTACTCATACACGTACCGCTCCAAGTGCTCGGGGCTAACGGCCGATCCGGAGTAAGCCGCGTGCCAGAAGAACCACTGCAACAGCTTCCGCTCCCGACCCTCCAACAGGAACATCGCAGCGTCGGGGACCGTGAATAGGGATAAGTGCCAGTTGCTGTTTAACGACCCGTGTGCATCCGGCACCATAAAGCCCTCGAATCCAAAGCCGGGAAGTGCGAATTCAGACACTACTAATCGAGCCACTTTCTCAGGGTGTAGGTGGGCGTAGGCTGCGGCGGCTTTGCTCCCGAGGTCGTGGCCTACGATGAATGTTTTACCACTGATGTTCAGGGCCGTTAGGATCCCGTCCAGGTCCTTTGCCAGCGCTTCCGCCGTGTACTTTTCTGGATAGGGAATTCCGGAGGCGCCAGCACCGCGCCCATCTGGGACTATCACCGTGTAGTCCCGTGCGAGGAGGGGAGCAATTGTGTGCCAAGTTAAGGAGTGTTGTGGCTGCCCATGGAGAAGGACGAGGGGCGGCCCGGTACCGTGGTATTTCAGATGGATAAGGACCTCTGGGAGTTTGATTCTGCGGGAGGGCCAAGAGTCGAAGGGGGGAACTTTTGTTGTGAGGGAGAAGAGGAGGGCGGTTAGGGTTATTGCAAGAGCGAGCATCATGTTGATACCGTATATATTCAAGAGGTCTATCAAGTAATCTTTACCGAGCACAACTCGAGCACCGTATATTTCTCAGTAGGGGCTGCTTTTATAACTTTCCGCTCTATTTCTGGTATAGCGGCACATCCCGCGATTGTTCGTATAGTGCAGGGTTTGGGTTGGTCGCCATCTCGGCCTTGCGAATACTCGCGAGGCCGAGTTGAAGCTGGACACCCAGGGTGGCGATTCCCACACAAAGTGACTTTAACTCGACGCTACAGTAGAGCCGTTATCATCAGCAAAACCTGCAAGGGCGCGATTAGTAAATTCTCGAAGCGGTGAACATGGGCGCAGTACTCGTACAGTACTGTACACGTACCGGTATCTGCGGTCACAGATTGATAAGCAGTGAGATCTCAGGAATTGCCATGCAGAATAGTGGTTTTGCTGCTTGAATCCCTTCCCGAGGTGCATCAACTTTCGTCATTCCCCTTAGATAGCCTAGCGGTACTCTAGTACGGGGGCTATCATTGATACCTATAAATGAGAACCTCCAGTCCAATTACAGCGCCTGTGGTAACTTAGTGGTTGTACAGTATACAGAAGTTGTACCCTTAAACAATTGAAGTGGTATTTAAAAAAAATCCCATTACAGTGCCGTAAGGACTCGGGTGGTCGGACCGTCTGCCAGGACGTTGGGATCTCCTACCGGTAGTCCTGCTAAGTTCTTTCTTTACTTGTCATGGAAAGTAGGTTTTTTTTGACTTGTTTTTCACCCCGCGCCCAGAGGAGGAAAAATTGGACTGCCAAGCACATTGTAGGCTCGTTCCAGTTCTTCCGGCACCGCACTCCCAACTCCGGGCGCTCGCGCGGCCGGTGTTCGTAACCGGCCGAACCGGACCAGGCAGTCCATGCCAAACTGGACCGTCCGGAGAGGGTGCTGTGGACTAGGCGGTCCACCGCGGGCAAGCGGAATAGTTAGACTGGACGGACTGACCTGCCCCATAGATTACCTAAATCACCTCAAATAATACGTATGGTCTTTCATATAGGTGAGTCTTCTATTGGTAGAAAGAATTGTACCGGAACTATTGCAGGTATCTTGCTTTGAAGCCTTCTATTTTCTCGTACTGCTTATGCTAGTATTTCTGCTAAGGCAGAGTTTGCGATAAAAGCCAAAAAAGGCCTTGGAGCCCATGGATACGGACCCCACTCCAGCGGGTTCATTGGGGTGCCCAGGTTTTCAGAATAAGAGCCACATTGCCTATAGGTGGACAGTGGGCAATCCGGACTGGCATTCCTGCACAGTAGCCTGTAGGCCTGAAGTCCAGCCTTAACTTAGCTCATTGATCCACTAGGCTAAGGCGCCCGGGAACCACCGTCGACGGACTGGTAATTTGAGAACGCTGGGTAATCTTCACCCCGATCTTTTGTTCCCCGGCCTTCCGACTAATAACCTATGCTATTATTTTACTTATCCCTTCTGCATAGTATTCCAGGTTCATAATATAAAGAACACATTTACAGGGGGGATTTCTCTCTAGAGATATGATACAATTGGATTTATTCATAGCAAGCCCTTTCTTACTTGCATGGCAGCCAGCCTATTTACATAGCAGTCATGTGTACAATAACCTTCAACCTAATCAAAGAAAAAGAATCAATCAAGACTAAGGCTCTGTTCAGCACCTCAATTTTATGGCATAACTTAGAGTTTCACGGGCATTCTATTCCCCTGTCCTTGTTTTGGTGAGCGTAGTGTTAGTTTTCCGGAACAAGAATAAAGATAACAATCAAACAAGATTAGGTCGGCTAGATAAAGCCCCGGTAGTGCCGTCCGACGGCCGTCAACAGCAGGGTGACGCGGCTAGTCCCATGTCGCCACCCTCGCCATCCAGTCCGAGGCGAGGACGGGCCCAGCCTGGCGGCCGGGAGCACTTCTCCTAAAGTTTTTTTTTTTGGGTGTCTGGCGTTACACGGTTGAGTGTGGAGTCACTCATGCCCAAGAGCTGGCATGGTGATCAGACAAACGCCACACTCTAAACACACGACGAAAGCTGGCGGGTGGCCGACAGGCTGCGGGGGTATTTGGCAGGTGAACATGTGAATTTGTCAAACTAGGGTGACGGGAGAAATACTTGTTCGTCACACGCCAGTCTTCTTCGTGTTTACTACCCCTTGGAAAGTGTAGCCGGAACCGGTCGGATGTGCAACATGCGGATATTGAGGAGACGATTCTAACCAAGGTGACTAGAAACCTTGAACCGAGTCTATGGGAAGGGGAGTGGCCTCTCGGAGACTTTCTCAGGAAGTACTGACAATTCTTGCTGGTATCATGCTGGTACTGGCGAGGCTCCCCTCATATCGTGAGCCTCACTTTTGTTTCCATACTATGATCAGTATTTTCTGTTTTTCCGCGGCTAATTCTGGTGAGTAAGATCTGCTGTTGGCGTAGAAAGTGTCGTGTATGGTGATTCTAACTGCTAGGTATCATGCTTGCTTAATACCTCCTCCATTGCTCGGATACTGCAGGACACTTTATGGTCCGGCATTCCCTGGTGGGTATATGGAGATAGCATGGAATTCCGGGAGACATGGCCATCCGCTAAAGTCTTCTCAACAACTGAAGCCCAAATAACTATCGCTACACCTAAATACTCCTCTAACGAAAGTAGCCTACTTGACTGATGCCTACGCCCGGAAAGTGGGGCAAACACTTTGAGTAGTAGTTGGGGAGGAAGGGTGATCGGAAAGGAGAAAGAGACATCCAGAATGAAAAGTAATATCTACCTGCAGTAAGCTGCGGTTTCTAGGTTATTCCCGTCTTCTCCCTTCTCTAGGGGTCATTGAGTCCCTTTACATACCCCAATTCTAACCAGAATTCTCAAGAGTTCATGATGGCTAAACCGTGCAATGCAATAACGAATATACATGCTGGTTACCATGAGTTCATCGGCACCTCCGACAGTACTTGTTGCCAGGCCAAACGCCTTGCGGCTCATAAGCTTAACTAACCTTGCTAATGATTCATATGATATCACTCGGTTATAACTTTTCTGTGAATGAAGTAGAAAAGAGAGTTTAGCTGGAGTAGAGAGGAGAATTCAGTTAGGTACTTTTGTGGGGGGGTATATGATCGTTTGAGTGAGCAAGAATTGTTAACCGTTTTCTTGAGTTTATCGACTCCCTTCCTATCGCCAAAGTAGATGACCACTATATACTATAGGAAACCCAGCCGACCAGATATCCATCTGGTGGCTACATTCCTTCCAATCCATACCATCCCTCATTCCAATCTAACCCACGACCAGATATCCATCTGGTGGCTACATTCTTTCCAGTCCATACCATTCCTTGTATCTCCTCACATTCGTCTAGACTGCTTCTTGCATGTGGTTATCAGGAAGTCTCTAACAACCCCAGCGATATCACAACAGTGAATATATGGTTCCTGAAGCCTGAAGCCTAGACTGGAAATCAAATAACATAGAACTTGCAGCAAGTTATAATGTAAGGGAAATACGATGCAAGAAACTGGGCCTGGCTTCACTTATTTGGATGGAAAATCATGTTATATAAATGTTGAAGATGTAATTATTGAGCATTCCAACCCATATTTTGATATAGGGATCATACCCGGGGAGAAGTTTCCTACGAGGCAGGGATTATTTTTCTAGGTTAATGTAAAAGAACCGTTCATTAGCTTTCTCTCCGGTGCGTGCGCATTAAAAGTTGTCACAAACTCCGCGAGAAATTTAGTATCAAGCCTGGGTTTCCGGAACCATACCACTGGCGTCTCAATTCTCCACCCAAATCGCACTCCATCCATCCCGTAACTTCGTCGGCGCGGCGCCTAAGGGATCTGGTTGAGAAATTAAAGAGAGCTGGAAAGTATCCTTCCTTGGCTGGGAACAAGGTACTAGGGCTTCAAACCTCTCGGAGACATGTCCAGCCGGTCTCTCGGATCCTCTGGTCGACCAAGGGATACTTTGATAGCTTCGCCATAGCAAAGGACATTCCCATTTTTTTCTGCAATGGCTTGAAGCCAATCGGCTACTCTATCACCTGATAATTTTTTTTTCTTTTTCACCTCCTCCAGAAGTTGGCATTAACAAGTCTCTGGACTTGGCCTTTGCCCCGGGTACCTCTTCCGGTGCCCTGGCTATGGAGGTCTCTCCCCGCGGGGGCCCGATTTCTCCGCTCAGAGTATATATTGGGGCCATTCACACACACCCCTCCGAAATCTCTTGCCTTCTGCCGGGAAATACGGTGCCGTTAGCCCTATCATCCATTTATACCTTCTAACGCACTTGAACTGCTGGTGGTGAGATTGACAACCCGGGAACCCAGAGCGCTGGTAAACCTGAGATATAGGCGGAACTAGCGGGTTTATCAAAGATCTGGGACTATGGATGGTATTTAAATTAATAACTTAAGAACGTGTTTCTCAGAATTTTAAAGATTCTTGAGGGGCGGTGGATCTCGTTGTCAAAGGTCGCTCTTTTGGTTGTTTTTCGGCGCATCGCCCTCTGGTCTCCGGGTTCTTGGTCTCGGCGTTGGTAACAGCGTTCCACCCGTGAATCGGGATAAGTGATAAAGCAGCATAAGAATCCCTAATATCGTGACAGACCCTTCCCAAAGAATCATCGGCCAGGTCACAACCAAGATTTATGGCCTTTGCTATTTAGCATCAGATTTTTGTAGCTGTGAGTCCCGCGAATTTTCGAATGGATAGCTCCTGACTTCTCGAGAGTTGCAACTTTTGAAGCTAAAATCACAGCATACTTCCACCCATCATCATCAATTGATATACTTTGTATGGGACCCCTTGGAAACCACCTGCCTCTCCCCACCCTCCTTAACCTTCTCGATCATAACGCTCACAAAAGCCAAGCTCCTCCCAATCTTCTCGCTCCTCCCTTCAATAATCAACTCCTCCCCCTCCGCTGCGAACCCCACGAAGGAGGCATGAATATCGGTGCTAACCCCGGTCTTTTGTAGCCCGTGCGAAGCAATGACCATAGAGCCCATCCAGTCGATTATACACGTGGTCACGGTACCATGGAGTGTATTTTTAGAGTTCAGATGGTTGGACTCGACTCGCAGGCTCGCTGATACGTGCCCTTTGGATACGGAGGTTATTTTGACCTGTTTTATTTTTTTATTTTTTTTCATTAGGAGCTTAAACGAATGTAGCACCAGAGGGGTGGGTGATAACTTGCCGAGGAGAGAGCAAAACTGTAGATAGGGCTGTTCTCACGGATGCGTTCCCACACCTGTAAATTGCCGTGTTCTGTTAGCTGTCGGCTCTTGCTGAGACGCCAGAGTGTACGGGTGGAAACGCTCTACGGGATAGGCGAGTCCTGCAGCAGGTGGTTACGAGAAGCATACTTGCTCGACGTTCTCTTGGATCGAGATTGGTTGCTCTTCGGTCGACATTGTACTCGAGTACTGTGGTCGTGTTGAGGTTCTTCCCCGCACTACACTACGCTACCAAGAGACTTTGGTTGTTGGCGATAAAGTTAGGTGTTACGGCAATTAATAAGGGTAGGGTTAGGGACCCACTTTACCTGTTTATCGGGAAGTAGCCGGACACCAGGATTCTAGGAGGTGTTGTGTTTCATGCTCAAACTGGAGGGTCTTGGCTCCTCTGTTTCCGGATACTTTTCCGAATTGGCGAGTGGCGGTAGCGGGTATGGTGCTGATGGTGCATCGGTGCTGGTGCTTGCAGATGGTTGACTCTGCGCCCTGCCGGTACAAGTATCATGATATTGCACATTATATTGCCCGAGAACCGACATGGGTTAGACAGGGATGAATGACGGCCACAGACCTTTTCCATCGCACCCGTACCTGCACAAACTGAAACCTCACTTAACTTCGTGCAGAGATAACATAGCATCGTAGGAGAGAAAATAAACGAGAATAGCTAGCTTTCACCGAAATGATGCTTGTCTTCCCAACATTCAGCCAGCGATCTGCATCCCCCCTTCCTTCCAATACCTTGCATGTGTTTGGGCCATTTCGGTTTCCGTCCCAACTCTGCCTAATTCTCCACTCGAAGGTGTTTACCGGGACCTGAAAAGCTCACGGACCCATCATCTTTCTCTACGCGAAAACCCAAAGATCATGTGGCACTACGGAGCGGACTATCACTATTGATCAGTGGTACCCTGTATTGTTACAGTTTCGGTAATTGCTATTATTAGTCTTTGGTTATCTTGCTGCCGTACGGTAGGTGTATTGGTGCTCGAGTATCGTTTTCGGGGTTTAAAAAAAAAAGGTGTTTTCGGAGGCGGGTCGCGGGGTTCTGCTCTGTTGTGCGTCTTTACCCCGGGAATTGATTTCAAGAGAAATATCGATGAATACCTGTTCCACATTCTGCTGGGGTTTAAATACCGGTAGATAGAAACCTATCATAGGTGGAGTATGAATGATAGAGACCATTGTAAGCCAAGCTCGTGTAAGGAGTTAAGATGACAGCAATCGAACCGTTGGCATAACATTGGAAGGTTTGAGATTTGCTTTGGTGGGGCCTGCTATTCTGTGTTGCTGACTGTTCTGTCCCTTAGTCGTGTCCTGGGCCTAAAATATCTTGCGTATGATACAGCGATCCCTCCTGATGATAATTAGTAATGGAATACTAGAGTCTTAAGCTAGGATATTATCCCATCGATCTCTTGGGCGTAGCGGTAGACTAAGGGATAATGCTACATCATCTCTGAACAAAGCTATTATGGGTTTAACTAAGGTTTTAATTCTCACAACAATAAGGAACTTCTGCAACTACTATTCCACTTATTCGAGTGGTCAAATCCTTGCAATCCTTCTGGCAATATAACATGTGTGATGAAATGCTAGTAAACCAGAAAGTTGTATTATGGTAGGTCACTTGTGCTTCACAATGTTGGCTAATTTTGTCCCCGGGTTTTGGGCATCATATCTGAGCACACAAAGGACTTACGGATAAGGTATAAAAAGGTCCCGGTATAGTAGGAGTTTTCAAAGTTAAAAAGGTTAGAAAAACAGTTATTTCTTTCTTTCATTACAGTAATGTTTCATGAAACTTACCGTAACTTTGCCCTGTTTTACTACTTTTTTTGGGGGAGGGAATTTACAGAGCCCGAAGCCCTAACACAGAATATGGTGCTTACTCGTTACTAGAAAGTACAACCTCCAACTCGTAGTAGGCAAGATGATTCGAGGGCGGGGGTCATTAATTTCTATGGACACTCAGATTTTGTCGTATTTTGTGGATCTCTGTTTTTCGGGCCCTTCTCGCCTCCTACTAGAGGATAAAACAGATATTGGGGGGGGGGAGGAGAAAAAAACAATGTTCCTTCACGAAAACTCAATGTTAACAGCGCAATCGAGGGGCTGTCAAACCCTGGATTTGAGAGCAGGAACCAGTAGTTTTGACCGATCTCGTAGTAGTACCGATATTGGAAATCGAGCATGACAGGTGCTTAGTATAGCAGCAAACCATGGTTATCGGGAAATTAAAGGCCGACGGAAGGGTGCCAAAGCCCAGGGTTTGGAATTTTGTCTCAGGAGGTAAAATTCGGGAACCTCGCCCCAACCCATCCAATTGCCCTGTTGCTTCCGAGATAGTTGAGCACCCCAGTATTCCCAGTGGTCCGTCTGGCGGAGACGGAGGTGGGCCGCAAAGGGTGTGGACCACGCCGCCCAGCGCGGAAAAAAGACCAACTTGGCAGAGCAAGGACGTGGCAGATTGAGGTCGCCCACAGTTATCACTCACTCCCTTGGCCACGGTAATTAACCGCTCAGGCAATATTGGGACCCAAGAGGGTTGGATAGTCCCAAGTGGGCAGAGAGTACCAATATCATCAGCCATGCTGTGGGTGGGTAGTATTTTCTTTAATACGGGTATTTTACGTGATACTTAAAAAAACACAAGAGAAGTGGGGGGCTGATTACCACGCCGGCTTTGGTAGGGGACCCTTACAATCGGTTTATAAGGGTTCTCTCTACAGAAATTGGCGTATCGAGCGGCGGAAGTCCTACGGGGACTGTCTTTATTTCTATGATCGCTGCTATAGGTAATCATGGTGGTAACCATTATAGGCTTATCTTCTCTGGCCATGGGAAGACGCTCGTCTGTCATTAAACTGGTGTCGGGATGGGCCAGCCTGCAGTCGGCGGCCCCCCGATGGCACCGGGGGAACCCAGCCTAATCAGTGGCTTCGTTCCCGGAACCTTATGAAATAGGATAGTGAGCGGGAAGCGCGTGTTCCTACGAGCATTGTTGTCGATTGAACTTTTCCCATCTCTTTCCTCATTATGTTTATTTAACTGTATTGCCACGTTGGCACTCGCCGGCGTGAGCAGACGTGTAGTTACTACTATTGTTTTTTGCTATGAGAATATTGCAGTAATAGTCTATACTCGACTTGGTATATTGGCCAATTATAGTCGTCCGCAGCCAACTGCCGTCCACCCCGTCCAAGGAGGGGCCTGTCTCGTCTTTTGTCGGCTTCGGCGGTCTCGGACAGGCGGGGCGACTGCGAGCACTGGGTGGAGTAATGGCAGGCTAACTGATTCTGCGTATGCCAAACGTGAGTGAAACGGAAAAGCAAGCTAAGATTTTCAAAAATCTTTAGTGTGGAGTACCACGACCGCGGCACTTAGGGAAAGTGCTTTAGTGATGCCACCATCTGTGGGGGGGATGGGGCAGATGAGAAGGCATTGGAGTATAAGGAAGAGGGAGATGTTCGAGGGGCTGGGAGGAGTCGAGACTAAGAGTGGAAGTGGTGGGGGTTGGTCGGCAGAGAAGAGCAATGGGAAGAGGAGGGCGACTTTGGAGAAGACGATGAGGTTGAGAAGGAGAAAGGAGAGGAGGTAACTGGAGGCTGTCGTATGAGACCCATTCCAAGTACTGCTTCTGAGGATACCAGGGTTTCTTTGAGAGTGCTAGGATGGGGGGAATTGTATTTGGTTGTTTCCACGAATGTGGGTAGACTCTGTTTGGCACAGAAAGCCCGGGAGCGAGCAAATTTGGACTCTCCTGGCCAAAATTTGGAATGTGTGACAATACTAAGTGCTAACCCTGGCGCTATTTTGGAAGGTGGGAACCCTCTGCTACCCTAGTCCCAGGGGCTCCGTGATACCCAGCTCTTTAACTGACTAGTAGACTCAAGGCCAATTCGAGCCGGTTCACCCTATTTAGCCTTAGCCCCTAAGCAAAAATGGCTTAGATACACTTATGTCGTGAGTATGATAAATTGCTAACTCGGGTCAATTGAACGCATGATAGCTCCCAGGGTGTGTGGGTTTAAGGTAGCTCAATATCTAAGTCCGGTTCTCTGCTTCCATTAGGTTGCCATCAGTATCCTGGTAGTAAACATTTGTACAACCAGGTCTGAAAAGCTCTGATACCCTTTGAGGTGTAGTATTCTTAGCTATTGGATACACTTTACCGACCTCCTCTTTCTGTTGTTCATGTGATGGGTGTTTTCTGGAGCAAAAGGAAGGATATGGGAACCCTATAGATGCGTCTGCACTTTCTAAAAGCGAAGCTACTAATTATTCTTGATTACGGTATGCTGAATGATGAGCGAATTTAGAGCTTACGAATGTCAATTAAAAATACGGAGCAGCATAAAAGGTTGCCTTACAAGCATATTAGTTCATTGTCGGCCAGTCCTTGTGCCTATAGCGGGAATGGCATTTTCTCACTTTTATGAGATTTTTGTTGCAATTGAAATATTCTAGCATTGCGCTCTTTTGGCTATAGCTCAATTTACAAACCGCCTTGGAGAATTATGTTCTCATCGAAATGCTCAGAAAGGTAGATTCTATCCAGATATACATTTTTTATATATTCTTTGATCAAAGAGGTTTCAGTTTTAGGAAAAGTTGAGTTTTCAAGAAAAGTGGCATTCCTTTAAATTGTGACCTGGCAGAAGTGCTCAGAACAGAAGGAAGGAAAGGCCCCTCCGATATTACATTTTCCATATAAACCCACTCACGCTATTATTTTATTTTATGATATTATTGTTGTACAAATATATCTACTAACTTAGTAGCCAAGTACGGTATCTAAGTCCCGGTTCTACTCTGCCAATCAACTTGGGCTTGTCTAGGGTAGGAAATCCCGCGCGGGGAGCAATAAATTTCAGGGTAAGCACGGGAAATTTGCGTGGGCACCCATAGGAAAAGGCGGTGTATAGTGGCTCATTGGAAATCTACTGATATCAGGTGTTAGCGGATAGCACCACTTTTCATGAAAACGTCCAAGATCTCGATACATTGGCTACAATGAATAGTAGGTTGTGGTCTAAAGTGGCCCAGATATGGCATTTTTGTGTCAAGTGCACTAGTGATGGTAAGTACAAGTAGCGCCGCCGTACCGTGCCGCATCTGAAGGTGTACAGTACTTTGAAGTGCATTAGGTATTACAGGGCTCTTTAACAGCAGCCGTTTGGCGAGGAGATATGGTCGCCCGAATTCGGAAGATTTACTCCAAGTGTCGTCGGGAAGTTAGCCTATAATATACGTGTGCTTGCAAAAGTACAATCAAGGGCAACTAGATGATAGCTCTATCGAGGTTCTACTCCGTACCAGGGGGTATGCATTACCCCCGGGTCTCCCCGTTACGGGGTGGGTCTGTAGATTTTTTAACTTCTGCTTTAACTTAGGGCTTTAGACCGTTGGAGAGCTCTGCAGAGTTGGGGCGAGGACTGAAGCACCGATAACCTAGGCACTTGCATTGGATTTGGGGGAGAATACCGGCAGACTGTTACCATAGGGACTGCAATAATTTGACCACATGCTACCTGAAGGACATTGGAGTTGCCTCTCCTATCATAGCAAGGCCAGTCGGAGGAAATTCTGAATCTCTTAGCGTGAAGTCCAGCTTTTCTAGTTTCTACAACGAATAAATGTAGGAAGGCTCGTAGGTTAATTTGATGAAGCTAACTATCTTAGTTCCCTTTCCTCCTTCCACCATATGCCGCCTTGTCTTTATACAAATTGAACCAAGTTTTTGGTTCGCACAATAAAAAAAATCTCTACAAGTAGTGTACGAGTATTGTATAGTGCAATCACAGTACCGTATCGTTCGTCCCCGTTAAATCGCGTGCTCTTTGGTGACGTAGCTGCTAGAAGTGGAGCGGCTTCAATATCGGGGCATGAGTACCGGTAGAGGGTGTGGGAGTGCAATACAGTTACTGGTAGGTGCTTATACTTGTACATCCGGTCGGGGCCGTAGGCTCAGACCGGACTAGCATAATATGAACACAATTCCATCAAAAATATCAATGGACCTGGGTACCGGTAATCAGTAGCGGAGCCAAATATATTATAATTGAGAATTTTTATTGCTTTCTTTGGCCTGTGCACCCGATGTCCGTATTTGCACAATTAGAGGCATCCTTAGGGCACCGTAGGTTGGCCGAAAACCTCATTCCTCCACCCACGAATCCCACCAAGTTCGAGAGTTTTACTTCAGTCTCTATCGACCCTTCTCTCTCTCTCCCAACGTCCACAGCCCATCCTAGTGGTGACCTCTTCTTGTACAGATGTGCTCGGATACGTCAGTGAAAATCGGAAAAACGCCCCCATAGATCCCTCTATAAATCTGAGTGAAAGATAAGGGTTGTGTTTTCCGATATTCACGGACACACCCGAGCATACGCGAGAGTCAGAAACGACCATACTCCGGGCGATAGTTCTATGCTGTACTGGCGCTGTAGCGATAGGAACTCGAATAATTGAGCCTTTGAGCCTCAGGGCAAGTTGTCCAGGGATGGCTCCAAACAAAGACTGGCTTTCATCCAATAGGACAATCAGGAGAAAAAAATATACAACCGACCCTACCCGAAGAGGCAATCCCAGGGTCCTAGCGTGGGGTTCAGGCGTTCCTGGATCCTGCGGTGTCACTGTACTCGTACAGACATTCTGGAAACTTTCGCTAATGCGGGAGAGTAGTAGTACTGTTTCGAATGTCTGGGGAGTAGTCCGTTCTGCTGGCGAGGCAAACCCCTAGTTACGTTTAATATTTATGTCACCAGCCCTAGCCGCTTACAGTAAGTGTGCGTTGCCAGATAGCCTGTACTAGAGTACGCGTATCCCGCCCGCCATGGGCACTAGTACTGCAATTCTTTCAGGTATATTAACTTATATTTTGGATAACAAATGCGCCACTCACTACTAACCTCAGAACAGTGGGTGAGAGGGTAAACACTTACCAGCCCAGCACCCGGATTAAGCTTTCAGCCGACCACGAGTGTGAAATATGTACTCGAGTACAGTACTGTATTCCTTCCTGGAATCGTTTTAATCTATAGCAGCCAGCGGATTCCTGCCGGGGTTGAGGTTTGTCAGGGATTGAGGGGGGATCTCCGAATTTCTTGAGAAAGTATATAAGCGTCTGATATGTCTCGGTGTTACAGCCTCTTCGGCAGCAGCAGTAACGCTTCGTCCTCTCGTTCATCAATTGTTTTAATCCTTTAGTTTTGGGAAAAGTATTTTATTCGCTCTTTTGTACTGGCACCGTGTGCTTTTCTTCACCAAGATGCTCGTCCTGGTCTTTCTTACGATCTTTGTCAGTCTGGTGACTGCACTTCCTGCCCGTCAATCTCCAGACTGGTTTCGGAGTTTTGCGACTTCCACTCCGTCTTCTTCGTCTTCTTCTCCATCTCCCACTTCCCCCTCCCCCCCTTCTTCCTCCTCCGCCACTCCCTCCCCTTCTTCCAATCCTTCTTCCAATCCTCCGTCTTCCTCTTCTTGCACAGTTACGTCCAGCAAGGATTTAGCCAAAGTCAAGCAGGATTGCAAGGATATCTCCATCGGGTCGTTGACCGTTCCCGCAGGAGAAACCCTCGATTTGGACGATCTTCAAACAGGGACAACCGTTACGTTCACTGGGACTGTTAGTTTTGGCTATAAGGAATGGGTTGGGCCGCTCGTGAAGGTTGGCGGAACAAATATTAAGGTCGTGGGGGCTTCCGGATCAGTTCTCGATGGCGACGGTGCGAGATGGTGGGATACCAAGGGAGGCAATGGCGGCAAGAAAAAGGTATATCGATCTTGTCCTATGTTCGTCGGGCGAACGCTGAGCATAGTAGCCCAAATTCTTTGCCGCGCACGGCCTGAAGTCATCCTCGATTACCGGATTAACTCTCAAAAACACCCCTGTACAAGCTTTCAGCATTAGTGGTGTTTCAGATCTCACCGTCTCTGGGATCACGCTTGATAACAAAGATGGGGATGCCGGCGGTTTGGGACACAACACTGATGCTTTCGATGTCGGAAGTTCCGATAATGTTATCATTACCGGTGCCAAAGTCTACAACCAGGATGATTGCTTGGCTGTCAATTCGGGGAGAAACATTCAGTTCAAGGATTGCTACTGCTCTGTATGTGTCTCCCCCCCGATGATGTCTGGGAAACAGGTCTAACATCGACTAGGGCGGTCACGGAGTTTCCATCGGTAGCGTTGGTGGAAGGAGCGATAACGAGGTTGATGGGGTCACGATCGAGAACACTACCATTGTTGACTCGGAGAATGGTGGGTGCATAAAAAACTCGCCATCGTAGGTCGCGGTCTGTCTAACCCCCTCATCTCACCAGGTGTAAGAATCAAAACTATCAGCGGCGCTACCGGTAGCGTCAAGAATGTCAAGTACACCGGAATCACGCTAAAGGGCATCACTAAAAACGGAATTGTCATTCAGCAAGACTATGAGAACGGAAAGCCCACTGGAGTGTTTGTCGCCCCACAACCACCAAATCGAGGTAACTTGGTACTTTGCTGATCGAATATAGACCTACCGATGGAGTTCCTATCACCAACATAGCGATAACCAACGTAAAGGGTACCGTTACATCCTCTGCGACGGAGATCTATATCCTTTGCGCAGCGGGTGCTTGTTCTAACTGGCAGTGGGATCAAGTCGATGTTAGCGGGGGAGTCAGTTCTCTCAAGTGCCAGAATGTCCCCGACGGTGTGCAATGTTAGATTTAGGGTTTGTATGAGTGCTGTGCATAGTGTGAATAAATCATTCGAGTGGTGTACAAAGGGGCGAGGAGCTCAGGGACAGCTGGAATGTCTATAATCTATTTAATTTAAAATTAATCCAAAGCCATTATGGTACGAGTGACCGCGCATGTCTATGCTCCCCCTGCCATGATTCTGTCCAAGGCAGCGGACCACTGCTCTTTCCACCCGCTCATGCCCCCTTCCCAATCCGGCAACTTCCAAACCTCAACTTTATTTTTCTTCTCTGTGGTGCTCCTCACCCTTCCGCTCCCAACAACGATATCCTCAACTCCACTTTCATCCACAACCTCCGCATCGCTTTCAACAAGCCAAAGCGTCCGGTTAACGACAAACCCCATCTCGAAAAGCGCCCCAACAACAATGGCATCCTCAACGGGAATATTGATCCAAGCCCTCAATCCTCCCCGTTCGGCAATATCCACAACGGTGCCCAACAACTTCCTGATAACCTCGACCCCTCGCACGCTCTGCTTAACCCCCTCCGCAACCTCAACCTTAGTAACCAGCAGCCTCCCCGCATCACCCAAGCATGTGGCGAACGCCAGCCGCACACCACTAGGGTCCACAACACTAAGCACATCCTCCTCATCAACTAGCGTCGCTTCATCCTTATACGTCTGCCGAAACCACTCCCCATCTTCAACAACCCTCCCAATACCGCTCTCCCCGCCCGCATAACCTCCATGTTGGCCACCGCCACCCATGCGCATCTCGTACAGCTGCGACGTACGCGTCGCCTTGGTGTACAACTCCAATATACTCCTATCGAAGGAGTAGATGCTCCAGTTCGGATTTATCGCAAGGAATTTCGGAATACGGGGTTTGAAGGACGACACGGAGGTCGGTGTCGGCAGGAATAGATACGTGCGGTTCTTCGAACGATTCTTCGGCAGCTGTGTAGTGTACCATGTTGGGTTGTTGGAGAGCGGGATGAAGCTGGGGTAGGAGATTAGGTGGTGATGAGAGAGGAGGTCGTCTGACATGTTTTTTTTTTTTGGGCGTGCTCGGCGGGTAGTCCTGCTTTGTGGAAAAATAATTTGGGGTATTGGAGGAAGGAAGGAAGGAAGGAAGTAATTTATCGATTGAAAGATCTTACTACTTTCATGCTTGGGCGTTGCGACCATTGGGGGTGGTGGTGTTCATATATCCCCGCCCTGGCCAGGGTTACACGGGAACCTCGGAGGGCTTCTGTTTCATAGAGTTACGGGGAAAAGAGGTGGGGGAATAAACTGAAACGCTCCTGAAGATGACCCTTACAGCCACCGCCGTGGGATGAAACAGTGACGGGGTGGGCTTAGGTATTACGGTACTGATACCTGTACTTTACTGCAAGGTCGTCGTCGCGTAAGATAGTCACCCTTAACAAATTAGTTATAGAGCTCGTATTGGTAGGAATTCCGCATCGGTAGACGCTTTACTCTTACTACCAACCCCAACACCCCCAATGAATGTTTCTAGAAACAATCCTACCGGTACAAGTACTAATGCACCTTACCGATGGGGATCCATCCCCTGTAAACGGAATCATGCACGGATATAGTACAGTACCGCAACAGGTATAGCTAGCTGAAGCTTACGAAACAGCCCCCGTGAAGATCCGTTCCGCGCAAGGGTGGGAATGGGATAGTCTGCTGAGATCACTGGCTCACCGCCCCATACTCGAGTATACTTGTACTATGGTGTTATTGTTGTCCCGATACTGTAATCGTAAGGCGAAAGTTAAGGGTGGGTTCTAGTGGTTGGGTGTAAGGGGAAACACGAGCGGGGAGTACGGTACCGTAATATGGTAGTACAATACTGGTGAGTGTCTCCTGAGACGAAACTTGAGTAACAGAAACTTGAATAATTGGACCGTGCGCTATGCATTCAAAAGTTCCCTTACCGAGAAAATGGGCGAGAAACGCAGAGAAGGAACAAGCCCCCTTTCCCCCCCTCCGTCCGAGACGGGCGAGAGGAACAAGATTGTCAGAGCCTTTTCCTAGGGAGGGAAACCCGATGGCATACCGTAGATAGCACACAGTTCGGTTATTTGAGTTCTTGCAACACGGGAGGCTGTGTGTGTGAATGATCCTTTGTCTAGATACCGGCATAGCATTTGTACTCGTACGGTGCCCGTACGCCAACACAGTGCGGCACGCTGGCAGGAATAACCTGCGTGGGATAATTAGAAGTGAGTGAGTAGCAATGTTATTCCTTAGACCGTTTTTGAGCACTTGCACTACGGAGGTACAGCCCATAAGTATTGTATATTCCACTAGCAGGGGGGCGATGCGCTTGCAGGGAGGCGATGTGCTAGCAGGGTCTAAGAGGATGGATTAGGGATAGTTAGTTTAGGTTTGTGTGGGTCTTGGACAATCTGGGATTAAATAATTTCTATTATCTATTAGCAAATACATATTTAATATTTTGTAAAGAGGCCATTTGCCTCAATGACTGCTTGACATCTCTCTGGCATGCTTTCTATTAGCTTCCTATACTCATGCTGTCCAACACTGTCCCAAGCTTGTTTGTGTTACACATAGAAGCATAATCAGTATAGCACGTGACTAAATGCATAAGGTCACATGTTTGACTCTGGGACCTGCTGTAGTTATCGTGACAATATCATATTACGGCACAGAATGACAAGGCACTCACACAGCCCATCCTGCGGAGATATGAGGCATGCAACCAAGGGGTTTTTGCTGGATAACATTGAAGGAGCTCTGCTCTATAAGATAAGACTTAGTTGGTTCAGATTGGTTGGTAAGTTATGGAGCTATGACCACTACAAGTCTATATGCTATTACAAAAAGTAATATACATGCCTCCTTTAGCTTGTGTGAACTAGAGTCATCTGGAAGACTAGTTCACAATTGGTTAATAACAACTTATTAGTTGAGTTGGTTATCTTTGTCATGTACTCTAAGCTATGCACATAGAAGAGTCATTGATAAGTCCTTTGACGGAGCTGATCACTTCACTCAGAAAGAGAGTGGGAAACTTAGTTTTCAGTGTCAAAAGGGGTTCGCACTCTGGAGACACTGAATCATTAGTATGGCAGGTACCTAGTCAGTAAGGGATTGGATATAGCCCATGACCACTCAGATGCAGAATATAAATATCAAGGTACCTTCCTAGCTTTAAGTCTATCATCAGTAACCAGAGAAGAGATCTTATCAATATATTCATTCTACTTTACTTTTATCTTTACGAGCCTTCTTGACTATCTTTGAAGACAGAAGAATACCCAGCTGTTAGGGGGTAGGTAATTCTAAGGTCAAGCAAGTATATACTAGGCCCTATAATCTTCTGTCTCAGAGATAGTCAAGAAGGCTCATAAAGATAGAAGTAAAGTAGAACGAATATATTGATAAGATCTCTTCTCTGGTCGCTGATTGTTACACATATGAATGCACAGACCTTCCCCACGCACAGACCTCCTGAAAACCGCAAAGATTTCATAGCCAACACCCCTCTCTGGCCCCGCCGTTGGCCCTGCGCGCAGCAATAGTGTCGCCAGAATTTGGTGTCCCGACAGTATAAACCGGTGAAAACAAAGCATGCTTCATAACACCATATATGTTGTCACCGTCTGTCTGACTGGAAGCTGTTCGCAGGATATATAAGAATGGACCTCAGGCCGTGTCTGAAAAGTGGAACGGAGTCAATCAGATGGGTAACCGTGGAGGTACGAGCTAGCCGAGGTTGACCACCTCGGACATGGACAGAAGGTGTTGGGATGAAATCGCCAACAGTCCAATGAGTTATCAGGACATGCCCGTACAGACAAGGCACGGAGTCCAGTCTAGTGCTCGCACAGTATAGAGCCAACCGGAAGCCTATCTGTGGACAAAGGACTTGGACTTTCCCATGACGTTGACTATGTTAAGAATCCTACCGAGTAGGACCGAGCGACAGGTAACGATACTTCTCTAGTTGTAAGGTGATAGTTCTAAGGCCTATGCCTACGCGATCGCAATAGTCTAGTCCTTTGACTACTATCTTGTTCGCGCCTATCTCCTTATACTTCTTCTCCTTAGTCCTCGCTTAGGACTCAATTCTTTTCTCGTGAGAGGAAAGACAATTCTTAGGTTTCTTAAGATAAATCTTAAAGAGCATAAAGGTAGGTTTTTATTGATAATAACTTGAAGGTAGGAAGTAAACAAGAAGAACGTGTGAAGAGCTAATACTAGAGGTCCTAGTGACCCTTTATATAGTAGCTCTTCACCTGGCGTGACTCATACTTATGCGTCACGCGAACCTTGTGACTCATAACTATGAGTCACATGAAATCCATCAGCCGACTCCTCTGAGTCGCTGTGCAACAGGCCTAAAACCAATCAAAATATAATAATCAATTCAAGTGCGCAACTCGCGTCACCTGAGTGAAACCTATGACTCATAAGTATGAGTCATGTGCGAAAATCATAACATCATGTGACTCACAACTGTGAGTCACGAACAGGTAAATATAATAACCTATGGCGTACTAATGTGCGTCATGTGAAATCCCAACATACCTATAGTTCGGAAATCCGAACTATGTGAAATCTGCCTTGCTTAGTCACAGTTTATGACATTAGCTCTCCTCTCCCTCAGCCCAAGTTCCATCGGGCTTCAATCTTCTATTCCCTATCTTCTTCCTTCGGGTAGCGGATAGTACCTATTTGCTCCCGTGTTCACCCTGACCACCCTAGCCAGAGTTTTCCTTGCTTCCTTCTCTTCTTTTCTCCAGTCGTTCTGGAGAGCCTTTCTCATATTTCTTTCTCCTTGCAACTCGTTCGTCAAATTGTTGTTGCTCCACCTCATCCTTTCCAGCTCCTTCTTGAGCTCCTCTATTCTTTCCGCCTGATATTCCAGCAGCCTACTGGTTTCCGCCTTCTCGGCTAACCACTTCATCTTGACCTCCTTGGAGGTCTCGGGTTCCATCTCTTCTTCCATCTCTTGTTGCCAGGAAACCTGCTTCGGTTTCCTGGGTTTTGCTCATTGTTTTTGTTTTTTTGCCCCCCTCCTCTTCGACTCCGTCCTCGGAGTCAGTTGGATGTATTGTACTAGAGCCACTGGCTCTGGGGTTGGGGATCTCGTTGGTGATCCCAGGGGTGAGGTCTTGGGTGGCCATCGGTTTGTCTCTCGAGGCCAGTATCCCAAGCCTTCTTTCTCGCTTCGGTGTACTTGGCACTTGTCGTTGTAGCAACCTGTCCATGACAGGTTCGCGTGTTCCCTTTCGGGTGTGGTAGGAGTCTTGTGTATCGGTAGGTCGCTCAGACTTATCCAGTCCTTGGGGTTGTATTCCATCTCGTTTTTCCATTGTTCTGGGCTCGGGGTGCGGTATCCCGGGCTGGTAGGAGTGATGTGTTTGCACGCGTCGCGTTCCGGGGTGTTCTGTAGGGCTGACGTTATCAGCAATTGCTGGTATCTGATCTGGGGCTGTTCCCAGTGATAGGTGTTGGTTCTGTGTAGTTGCGGCATTGATTGCTCAGATTCTGGTGCGTTTTCGACGCTGGGTTGATGGCTTGTGCGGGTATCTTCTGTGGAATTGGTGGACTGCATTTTGTGCGTGTTCAAAATTCTCGGCTGGGTACCAGGTTTTATTGTGTTCTGGAGAGTATCCAGTCCACTTTGCTCTGTACTGCAAGCGACCGTAGGGTAACCGAGAGTCAACGATCTCTTCCAGTTCGTATTCTGATTCACCGTCTATTTCGATAGGCGGTGGTAGGGGTTTCTCTTGATATGGTAGAGGATTGTCTTGATAGGGTTCGAGGAGGCTGATGTGGAGGGTGTTGTGTATTTTCATTGACGGTGGAAGGTCGAGTTTATAAGCGTGGCTCCCTATTTTTGCCAATATCTTGAATGGTCCTATTTTCTTGTAATCCAGTTTTTTCGTTGGTCGTGTGGTTTGGATGTTGCGTGGTAGTAACCAAACCATATCTCCTGACTTTAGGTTTGGATCGGGTTTTCTGTGGCGATTGTAGTCTTCCTTCTGTCGTAATTGTGCCATGACC